ACGTGCTTCCCAGTGTGTTCAAACATTGTGCAAATATACTGTAGGCAAAAAAAACGGTTTGGCCCCTCTTGCACCACAGAACATTTCCGCCCTCAGCATCGGGAGGACAATTTTTCCTGGGTGTGTTTTTTGGGTTTGGAATATTTTGGGATTCCTTCTATTGTTTTTTTCCAATTTCTTGGCTTCTCATTTTTTGCTTTTGGGCTTTGACTTTCTGCTTCTTTGTTTTTCCACTTCTCTGCTTCTGCTTTTCAGCTTTCTCTGCTTTCTGCTTCTGTTCTTTTCTGCTTCTCGTCTTTTTGCGCTTTTCTGCTTTTCCATGTTTTCTGCTTCTGTGCGTTCCATGTTGTTGTTCTTTGATTTTCTTCTCCTCTGCTTTGCGCCTTTTTGCCCTGTCTGTCTTTTCATATGTGTTTCTTGTTTCTCTTGCTTGCTTCACGTCTCTCTTTGTTTCTCTAATCGATCACAAGTCGAGCGCGACCGAGATCGAACACAGCTAGAGCGGCTCGCTCTATAGGTATTTTCCACCATGGCACACGGTGAAGTAAAAGGCTTGGGAAAAGGATCCTGAGCATCAAGGATCACGGGAGTCGATCATCACGGACCTGAAGGATCAAGGAAGGCTTTGGCGTGATTTTGACACTCGTCTTTGTTTTGTTGATCCTTCAGCGTGGTGAACGGCCGTTGCAACCAACAAGAGAAAATCTCACGGAGCTTTGGGTCATATTTCGTCAACCCGTCCGCGAACATCAGGGTCGTTGGGACCCAGTGGTAGTCCTTGGCAGCTACCGTCTCCTGGACAGCCCTGATGTTGATCAGGGACCGCTTGTCGGTCGTGTTTGGAGCTTCGTTCGTGATGCAGTCGTAGAGTGACTTCGCATCGGTGCATTCGGCGAAGTTCAACTTGCAACCGGCTCGATGTGCTGGTATGTTGTAAAGTATCTCCGACAGCATCATATTGGCGTACGCCGCACGATCTGCTCCTTCGTCTGCAGCGGAACTTTCGGAAGCCAGGGCGCTCCTGCAAACACGCTGTGACCGGCAAGAACGCCAATCGAGGACATTGACCGGCTGGGTCGCGCTCTTGGCCTCGGGCCTTGTGAGGCAGACCAAAACGCCCAGTTGGGAGCTCGAGTACTCCGCATTGGCGAAGCTGGCGTCAGTGTAGGTGACCAACATGCTTTACTTGTTGACTGGAACGTTCGTGACCAGCATGCCACGGTCGGCCGTCTGCTTGAGGAAGTCGACGGTGGAGTACAAAACCTTAAGGTCAGAAACCATCGTCTTGCCGCCACGGTTGTGAAGGCTGATTGCAGGCGCCACTTCTGGTCTCGCCTGTCCGGTGATCCACTGAAGACATCCAGCGACGCTTCTGAACTCTTTCTTCTCTGTCTCGTCCAAAAGGTCGGTAGGGCCTCGACCTCTTTTGGTGGTTCCGGACTGCAAGCCGTCCGCGAAGGTCTTCATGGAGATCTTGAGCTCGAAGATGTCGTGGTGCTTGGTGAGGGTCAATTCTTTGCCCTTAAAGGTGACTGGTGCATTCAGTCCAAGCTGCTTGTGTTCTCCCCACTTGAATAGGGAGGTCACTTCGGTGAGGTCATAGTCGGACCTGGCAACTCCGATGAAATCGTCAACGTAGACGAGTATGGCCGACAGCAAATTGTCTTGATCATCAAACTTCAAAAACAACATTGCACCGGTGACGTTGGTAGCCCTTGGAAGTGAGGCGACTCACAATTTCCATGCACCAAAGGTACGGGCCGTTGCTGAGACCATAGATGTTCCCACGTACCCTGTACCGTTTGTTTTGCCAACACTTCGTCATTTGGATCAATGGGTCCTTGGGTGGCCACAAAAACAAGGGAAGGGGACGTTCTCCATCTGGTTGGCTGCCCTGTAGGAAGGCTGCGCTTGCGTCACCAATCCATGCTGTCCATGGAAGTCCGCAGTCGCCAAGCTGGCTGTTGTATCCTGCAACTATCACGCTGTACAGGATTTGTTCGCTCAGTCGGCCTGGAGTGGGAGCCGATCGGGTGAGTGAAAACAGGTCTGGGTTTGTATGGCCTGGGGCCACGACTCTGCATTTGGCCTTCAGCTCACCACAGCCCCTGTTCTTGTCTCGGTAGGCTGCCGGGATCTCAGGCATCTTTTCCTGAGCTGTGGATCATCGAGCACTTGCTGTGTCTGCTTGTCGTCAAGGGGCCTCGATGGACTGCCATTCCATCCAGGAGTCATAGGCTTGATGAACTGCTCAAGTGCTGGCTTGGACATAGTGGCCAAAATGGTCCTCCAAGGCAGTTCTCTGTCGAGCTGCTTTTGCTCCCGTCTTGTCATTCTGGGTTGCTTGCTTTGTTCTTTGACGTTTTCGTCATCATCTGATGAGTCTGCACTGCTGTCAGACTCTGTTGGTTCTTTGGTGGTATTCAGCACATCACGCCTACGTTGTGGGCTGGTGAGGTATGCCCGGTGGGAGCTTTGGTGTTTTGGTCCAAAACCCATGGGGAGTGATCCGTCGTTGTGCTTGGATACCCTGACGATGTTGTTGTCATCATCTAGCATCAATGTTGCCATTGCTTCGAAATGGCGCTTCTGTGCGGTAGCAGTGGTAGTGGCTCTTCTGTGTATTCTTGTACTGTCTGAGGTGGTGCCAAGGAAGAAGAGGCTGCCGCTGCTGCCGATGCCGTTTGCGTTTGCGTTCCAGCAAAATGTTGGGGCGGGTGTGAGACGGAGACTGGTGGTGTCTCAGGAACATGGTGCCAATGGTGGTCTCTCTGTTCTTGTTTCGGTTCTTCCGACTCTGCAAGTTGATGTGGTGATACAGTCAGCCCGGGATGGTGTTCATCCATGGCGGTTTCGCCTGTGGCCTTATTGCCTGCGGTGGTCTGGTCTGGTGCCGTGACCGAAGGTGGACCTGGGATCTCCTCACCATTCGCGTCTTCAACATGATGGCTGGTAGAGTGGTGGTGAAACTGGTGCCGTGGGCGGAGGTGCGTCTTCCAGCTGTGGTGTCTCTGCTTCGGCCTCAATCTGGAGTGGAGGTCGTGGTGTATATAGGTGCAGGTGTCAGCTGGGCGCGCCGCGCCCGCCTTGGCGTTCGCTCTCGTGGTAGTTTGCCATAGCTGTGAACTGGTGTCCTGTGTGCCGGTGTGTGGACTGGAGACACCTGGACGTTCACATTGGCGCTCTCATCGTGAATGTTTTGGAGGGTGTCTGCGGTGACGGTGTTCCTGGAACAGGCAAAGTCTGTTCTGGTTGCCTTGCTGGCACCGTCATGCTCACGGTTGGTGGGTGGAAGGCTGGTTCGAGGGCTGGTTGATAGTCCTCGTGAGTGGCCTCTTCTGGCGGGCCTTGTCCAGTCTCATCTTCAAGGCGGCCGTCAGTCAGCATCTGCTTGGTAAAGCTTTGGGAGGCATCCTTCAAGAGGCGGATGTCCTGTTCTGACGGTGGGCATTCCTCGAACCCCACTGCGGCTCTAAGCTGTTCGGTTGTGACCAGGGTGGTCGCGTTGCCTGTTCGAAGCCACGCCAGCTTCGTGGGTGAAGTTGGATCCCATGCTAGGAATCTGGCAATTGTCCAGCTGCCTCTCTTCTTTAGACCCTTCCGGGCCCAACGCCAGTAGGCGCACGGTTGGCCTGGTTGTAGCGCCGGGATCCGGGTTCGGACCATTCGGCGGAGTATTGCTCTCTTGTGAGGTGTTGTGAGGCGTTGAGGTCCAACAGGTGCTTTTGGGCCTCGGATCTGATGATCTCGGCTTTGGCCATGAGGTTGTCGCTCTTGTCTGGATGTCCTGCCGATGATGCCAGGGCGGTGTGGGTACACGGCCGAAGACGGCTTGGTACGCCGTTCTTCCTCTGGTCATGGTGCTGGAATTGATGGCGTGGAGCGCCATTGGAAGTACTGCTTCGAGTTGGTCTGTATTGTCGATGGCGAACTGGTCTACCAGCTTCTCAAGGATCATACGGAGGATGGAGTTTCTCCTCTCGATGGCTCCGATCATCCAGTGAGCGGCTGGACAGAAATCCAGTCTGATTCCAAGGGCTTCAATCTGCTCTGGGCATCTTCCCTTGAAACACGGGTCTGGGTCAAAGATCATGAGGAGGGCAGTCCGAAGGGTTTCAACCACATCTGGCGGATGGTCTGGACCACGACGTCAGCGTCTCGGCTCTGGAGGATTGCTGCCATGTGGAAACCTGTCACTTTGTCGAGGAGGCCTAGTACAGGGATGGCTTGGCCTTCAAGGGTCCGGACATACCTAGAGGATCCAACGTTGCCATTGGGACAGCATTCTATACAAACGACAACGTTGGACCAAAACGTTGTCGTTGGCATACAACGTTGCCGTGTGCATTCTTACTAAAGAATGCATGTTGTATGTTTATCTTAAAGTTGAGCTTGATGACTGCAACAAAAGATTGCAAGCTTCTATGAAGCCAAACCTCAGCAAGCTCCATCGAGCCATTTATCAAGCTTTTGCTCGTGCGACATCGTCGTTCTCGATGCGAACGACAGTGGTTTCTGAAAACGACAACGGCTGCTAAAAACGCAACCGTTTTGTGGAAACGACAGCGGTTGCTCAAAACGCAACCGTTTTGTGGAAACGACAGCGGTTGCTGAAAACGCCACCGTTTTGTGGAAACGACAGCGGTTGCTGAAAACGCCATCGGTTTGTGGAAACGACAGCGGTCGCTGAAAACGCCGCCGGCTTGTGGAAACGACGAAATGACAGCGGTCAAAACCATGAGAAAATAGCATATAAGGCCTATAGGAAACGATTGTAACTCGGAAGGTCACCTTTAAGAAAAGTGCTTGACATGTGACATAGGACAAAAAACACACCCATATATTCAAAGTAGAGCACACACACTATGGGTATACTGACACACACAGGACACAGGAACCAACGCTTGTTTGGCAGCTTGTTCTCGCGCGTTTTCGAAAAAATGACTGCACATGTTTTGAAAGTACCTGACATATAAGCAAGCACACTCGGGTTTTCTCGGTCACGTTCGCCTGCGGTCTTGGTCGATGAACACCGCGAAGCACAACAGGTATCTTTGAAAGACCCTTTGGGTCATCGTTTTTCCATGGGTTTTGGCCGCAATGGCCTTGATCTTGCCCAAAAAGGACTCTTCTTCAAATGTATGAGTCAAGTTCTGATTTAATCGAAGTTCACCCACTTCGGTGGCAACATGGTAAAGGTAATGGGTCTTGGGCCTTACCTTGAACAACAAAAGGTGGTTGTCGCAACAGTGGAGCGCCAACCAACAAAAGCTTTGCACATAGGAGATGAGCGATTGCTTGGCTTCACGCGCGTCATCATTGCTCAATACAAGTCCTGCAGAGTCCATGATCTCTATGGCACGCTGTAGACTGTAGGCGCACGTTGCCAGCGCATTGAGAAGCAGATCCTTTAAAGCCACCACTGTTAAAAAACAGTAGTTAGAACAGCTCTTGTGCAACACTGTTGTCACATTCAACGAAGGAGAAAACCTTGACGCCACCCTGAAAACTTGTGGAGAAGCCTTCTAGGGTACTTGATGGTGGCCCCTTATGATTTGAACCAAAGTTTTGAGGGCGGGCGATTTTATACAAACTGGTTTCTTCCGGTCTGTTGTCAGCAACTTTTTGAGTTTTCCGTGCCAGCCAAGAGATCATCAGCTTTACATGCGACGCTTTGTAGCGTGTAGAAAGCTCAGCATACTCCGCCGTGCCGCCAACGCTTGCAGTATTCAACACAGGCTTGCATGGCAAATATTGCCTATAGACAACTAGTTGGTGAACAGCATGAATCTACCTGACAGAAACGTACCTATGACTCCTATAACAAAACAATGCAGTTGGTTTCAAGAAAACCTACCATGAATTCCAAGACACCCATTCTTGGCGCAGTCTGCGCGCATCTCTTGGTGGATGCACTCAAGGGTGGCGTCTAGATCACGAGAAGGAACCACATGTTCGTAAACCCCTTGCAAGACCAAAGTCCTGAGTCCAGACCCAACTAAATCTCTTCCAACACCTAGAAAGATGTTATGCATCCAATCGTAGGCAACTGTCTCGATGCGGTATCCTGGAACAGCCGCCCATGGAGAAATTCGGCAACCCTCTCTTTGGAGGTAGGCATCGTGTCCCAGCTTTGTCAAAGGCCAGGCTGCCGTTGACCCAAAGTTACGGTAGTTCATGGAATCTGGCGTTGCTTTGGTATTTCCAGCTAGGCACGTATCACACACCCTTAGTTGACAGCAACCCTGGAACCAAAACACTCGAAACCCTGACAGCATTTTTGCAGCGGGCAACTCAGAAAATATTTGGCTACATTCTGTGGCAGCCCAGCGACAATCCACACTTGTAGTATCGGGAGAAGTTGTTCAAATACTGTCTGGCCTTTAAGTCGGACTTCATGGCAAAATAGCATACCCTTCAAAGAGAAGTTCCAAGGTCAAAACTATCCCAGGAATGAATTAATGACTAAACTAGACCCTACATACCCTTAAGAGGAACATAAAAGCATTGCCTAATCAAAGGTCAAGGGCTTCCACCCCAACGCTAAAGTCTTTCCAGCAAGTTCAGCCCGGTAGGATTTGGGTGGAAAGGTTTCTCCGTTGTAGCCGCGCACTGGAGCTATGCCGCTGGCTGCGTGCTCAAGAGACCACGCTACCAGGCCAGCAATTTCTTCATTGACCCGTTTCGCTACCTAGGGCAAACATTTGCTCTTCAAACCATGGTCAGCCAAAGTGAAGCCTTTTTTGGTATCCCAAGATTGGTAGTTAGTACGTTCTGTAAAAAACATGACAGATGTTGAGTTGAGTAGCTGTCTTTGAGTGCATATGACGCTCCAAGATAATCGCGATTGGATATTTCAGCAACAGGGGGTCCTTGATAATGCCACTGCTCCCGAAGCATGATGCGATTGAGAAAACGAACGCCTCGTCTTCCCTTTTCATGGCTGCACCATCCCCGTGGATGGTGACACCGATCAGCTTGTCAAACTGAACATCATCTCTGTTCAGCACAGGGTGCGTTTTCCAGGGGTCCACTGAATACACGTGGGACCAGAACTGCGCTCTAGCAACCCCATCCAAGTTTCCAAGCAGCGCAGAGTTGAAGAGAAATGGGCAGTGGGAGGTTGCAAGGCAATGGATGATTTCATGAGGTAGCAGGACGTAGACAGGTGTTTTTGTTGCTTTGGCACCATCCACCTGGACAGGATCAGTGTAGCTGATAGATAGTTAGCTGATAGATAGATAGTTCCAATCCAAACCAACACATTTTACCCTTGCACACCTGCAAGTCTAGGTGGATTTTGTAGGATTCCAAACGCACACCAAAAAGATTGCGCAGCCAACGATGGAGGTCCCTCTCACAATTCTGCGGATGATCTCCTGCAGCTCCGAGGCTAGCAAACGCGCGAAGGGCCGCGGGAGGAAACTCTGTATCCTTGACAGTGTTCTGGGCAATCTCTGCAGCAGCAGATATATGCAGTTGGCCCCTTCCAACAAGACTGGTCAGTGTTTCCACTGTGTTTGAACGCTCCAAATCCTCAAGCCGTTGGCGCTTCCTCCAAGCGTCAAAAAATCCAGCTAGTGTGAACAGGTATTTTCATCTTGATATATATATATATATCAAGTGTATATTTGTATATGTCTATTAGTATCTATTTGTATAATATTCAACTGGTCTTTCCTTTTATCTGTAGCAGCGCACAATGATGGCTAGTAAAAGGCATTGTTCAACAATAGATGTTTCATCATGATGCCCCCAAAGGCTTCCCTCGATAGTTCAAACACGGGTCCTTGATGAAGTCACAGGCTTACCTGGCCAGGTTTCCCAGTGCCATTAAACCAGCTAAGCAACCATACAGGGGCTCAATCCCAAGAGTTGCTTTGTAAAAGCAATTCCCTCACACTTTTATGTTGAGAAGGGAAGATTGAAACATTCAATTCCAAGCCACAGTTTGCTTTGTAAACGATATTCGCTCACCTTTTTCACGTCGAAGACAGCTCGCTCTAAGAAGCTCCCACGTGCAAAGGGATTACCCTTTGCCTCGGCACCCCTGCGCAAAAAAGGCTTTAGGCCTAAGCTTTCCCCTCAGCACTTGTACCCTCAGTACTCTTTTTCTTCTTTGGCTTCTTTTTCTTAGGCAGCAAAGCTCCTGCTGCGGCCTCCAGATTTTTGACACATGAAATGTTCGCTTTGGATTTGGAATGCCGAAGACCTTCTTGACAGTAAACAAACACACTGTTTTCTTATCGTTTGTTTGTTTCCCGCTTCAGTTTCAACCACACTATTACCTGGCCTTCGCTTTCTCAACCACAGCTTCAAGCCGGTTTGCTTTCTCAAGAATGGTGTTCAAGCCCTCCTCCTCAGCCCCCGCATCAAGAGCTTTCTGGACGTCCTTGAAGCAAGTCTCCAAATCGCCAGCATGTGACAAGAGCTGGTTCGAGAGTTCTGACGCGTACTCCACAGCGGAAAGCTCAATCGAGTGGGTCCGACAAGTCGCTGCGAGTTTCAACAGCTCTGGCTGCCTCTCCCTCGCAAGCTCCTCAGCTGTCTTGGGATGCACTTCCTCTGAGTTCTGATCAGAAGGCTTAGGCTTCCTCTTGGGCGCGGCGGTCACCTGCACAAAGCAGGGCTGGACCCGCAAAAAACACGCAAACGCAGGTGTAAATAAAGCCAGGAGCGACAGCGCTTGAAAAGACAAACATAGGAAGAAAAGGGCGACAAAAGTTGGGAGCTTGCAAAAATAGTAGAGTGTTTGGGGTTATGTGTTTTGTATGGACGCTTTCAACCCTTCATGCTTGGACCGATCAGACCCCATGGTCAAGCCTTCTGCAGTGCGTCCACAAGCTTCTTTGAACCCTGCGGTGTCGCGGCTGACAGCTGCGGCAAGACTCCTGCCCTCAGAACCCCACTCTCAGCATCACATAGGGCATCCTGCAAACCCTGGTCTACCTTGGCCTTGCCCTTCAACTTCATAGACTCCTCGGTGATTTCCTCTTGTTTGAAAGTTTGCGCCGTTCGCATGAAATACCATGCTTCCTTAGATGGGTCAAACATAGTGCGCAGACAAAGCCCCCCTCGCAAGAAAAGAAAACACGGACAAAGCCACCCTCGCAAGAAAAGAAACGAGAAGAGGTTGAAAGGGCATAAAACGAAAGGTGTCATAAGGATCCTTGCGACACCTTTCGTTTTTTGCCCTTTCAACCTCATCTGGAAGTAGCTGGCAAAACGTGCTCAAGAAAGCTGGGCCTCATCATCGTCGTCAGGGAAGTCATCATCCCGATAGAACATGCCCTGTTCCTTGCGAGCAGCAATGATCTTTTTGTACTTGTCGTCGTCCTCATAGCGCTTGCGCAGGGTTTTACCCTGCACAGCCTCCCAGCCACGCGCGGAAGTAGCCTTGGATGAAGTCTTGCGCTCCACCTCCAGCGCCACGCGATCCCACACGTGGCCGTTGTCCAACCACAACCCAAAAAGGTCATGTTTGTTTGACACAGCGTACTCGCCGATATTGCCAGGAAGTTTCTTGGAAGACAGCTGGCGTGAGAAAGTGTCCCACTCCTTTTTGTGCGTCACGCCTCGTGCACATTGGGAAAACGAAGCACACTGCGCAGCTACACCGACACCTGCAAACAACTGGTGTTTAAGACTTTAAGACGCTCCTGCCAAACAATTGTGGTTTAGGATTTAAGACAAAAAATGCACATCGTTTTTGATTTGACGGGGCGCTGTTGCGTACTGCCACAGCTTGATCCAAAGAACTCTGGGCAACGGGAACCAAAGCATGGCAGGCGGCCCCATCGGTGGGAGGATCTGGAACTTCACCCCGACCCGCTTCTACTTCATCATCTTCTTCCATGTCCTCCTCTTCAGACTCTTCTCCATCGGATTCACAACTGTCCTCCTCTTCATCATTCTCTGAACTGTCCTCGTCCTCGCTGCTTGAACCCTCTTCTTCTTCTTCTTTTTTCTCTTCTTCTTTTGCTTCTTCTTTTTCTTCTTTCACTCCATCCTCTTCCGCCTTAGGCACCTTGCCACCTCCTCCTTCTTCTTCATCTGTCTCCGGGTCACTTGCTGCCTCGTCTGTCTCCGAGTCAGTCGCTGCCTCATCACTTGTCTCACTGCTCTCGTCACTGCCCCATTCTGGCAAGGAATCTCTTGGTACGACCAGACTTGACGATGGGGTTTGCTCAGTGCCTGATTCAGACAACACATCATCCAGATCAGAAGGAACCATTGTATTGAGCAAATCCTGCGTCTTTGCTTCGGCCTTTTGTCTGGCTGTGGTGCTTGAAGCTGCTGACACTGGCGATGCGAGCGGTGGTCTCTTTGACGCGGGGGTTTCCACCACATGACGGATCTTGTCCTTGATGAGAGGCACATACTTGATCCGCTTTTCCTTTTCTTTCTTTGCCTTCCCCTTTTTCTCCTTCTTCTTATGCTTGCTGGACCTTCCTTTGTTGGCTTTCTTCTCCTTCTTCCCATCACGCTTGTCGTCGCCGCCCTTCTTCTCTTTCTTCTCTTTGTCATCACCCTTGCTTTCCACGATGTTTTCCTTTTCCCTTTCCTTCTCCTCTTGGATGGGAGCTTCTTCGATCTTCGCCTTCTTTTCCTTCTTGCTTTCCTGATCCGCCTTCTTCTTTCCTCTCTCCCTGCAACCATCTTCTTTCTTGGCCTTCTCCTTTCCTTTGTCCTTGGAACTACCGCCCTTTCTTTCGCCCTTCTTTTCTTTCTCCTTGCCCTTGGAATGATCCTCCCTTTCCCCCTTCTCATTCTCTCCTTTCTTGGGAACTTCATTGCCAACCTTCGTCTTCTTGTTCTCCTGTTCATTGGAATCTTCCTTGGGCACCTCCTTGGTTTTCTTCTTCGAAGAGGCTTCCTTGCCAGCCTCTGACTTTTTCTTATGCGTCTTCTTCCCCTCGCCTACTTTCTCATCGACTATGGACTTGGGAGCCGCTTCCTTTTTTGATTTCGCTGCCTCCACCTTGGTCTTGGGAGTCTCCTCCTTATGCTTCTTTTCTTTCCCCTTCGATTTCTCTTCACGCTTAGCTTTCTTTCCACCATGGTCTGACCCAATTGCTTCGTGACCCCTTTTCTTGCGGTTTGGATTCCTTCTCCATGGTTCGACCCCTTTGCTGCTCTGGTGGACGAGGATTTCTTAGGGCTGAAGGGCGCCCCTTGCCGGTCACACGGTGAGCTGGTGCTCCGCTGTCTGCCATGCTTCGCGCTGACGAAGAGTGGGTAGCACACACCACACACACACACACCACACAACTACAAATCACAGCATTGGTCGTATGCGCTAGACGTGCGTGTATGTGTGCCCATTGGTGTTTGTTTGCTTTTCACCTGGACCACTGGCCTCGAGAAGCCAAAACCTTGCAAAACTACAAATCGCAACATTTCTCGACAAATCGCAACATTCTCGCTGCAAATCGCAATAGTGGTTTTGATTGTTTTTTCACAAAAAAGTTCACTTTGAAACGCTTTCACGTTTCCCTTCGTTTCCCGATCTTAAAGAGCACGGGCCAGGCCTATGAAAGACCGCTTCAGGAAGAGGCGTGGTGGCATTGCCTCCGCCGTGGTGGATAGGGTTGGCAGCTTTCTAGGGTAGCTGGTGGGTGGTGGCTAGCCCTGTCGACTACCTGAGAGACTGAATCTTGTGTTCTCAGATTGTTCGTATCGCTTGATTGTTCTTTTCTGTTAAGATCGAGCTCATGTCTCCAAGACCCCAAATGGCGTGGCTAAGACCACTAAGCCATCTAATTTCTTGCCAGGCAAGCTAAAGTTTTACTTGCCTAAAGAAAGGAATTTGATCGCTGAATCTAGGTCAGCGTGTTTAGACCAAAGAGAGTTCACTCGGGGCCGCATGTCGAAGGAATTCGGTGTCTTCCTGGCAGCCCGAAGGAACTTCACAGCGGTGCGATGGTTCTTCTTCAAGTGGGCCGTGCGGACCCTTGAGAGGGCACTGGCGAACCTGGGAAGATGGCTGGATCAAACAGGGGCCATCACCCATTGACATACAGTTGAACAATTCCTGAACTTGAAACATTTTTGGGGTTATGGGTTTAGCTGTTACCACATTCTCAACCTAGTCACCCTGCAGGGTATGCTTGAGATTGTTTGAGATCACGCCCTCCACAAACTCTTGGTTTGCCCTTGGAATCCACATAGTGCTTGACCATTTGCACAGGGCTGCCACGTTGCGCCGGGCCGGTAGTGTGCCAAAGAATGTCATCTATACACTGGTGACCTCAGGCCCACATGAACCCACGCATGCAGTACCCACGCACAATTTTTTTGATACATAGATGATCCAAGACTTTTGAGAGGAAGTGGAGAAGTCTAAAGAAGGACATACGGTGAGAAGCCTCTACCCTCTATTGTCTTGAAGTTACACCAAATTTTGACCCCTTCCAAACCCAGGCACTGCTGTACAAAAGTGTACTCTTCGGCGACGGTGCTCCAAAATCTCCCATCTTCATTCGCAGCCGGTGTACGCGCACTATACGTACCAGGGCTTGAAACACTGGGTGGTACTCCATACATGAAGTACCTGGTTGCTCCAGGCACCAGAATACGCCCTTTGCTGCACAAACCAAGCAGAGAACGATTGCCCGAGCAGCAAGTAAGTTGCCAATCTTGCATGCCTCCGAGTCGGGGCGGCCAAGTGGATTTGTTTTTGATCTCAAGGTAGAACCTTTGCTCCTCAGCTTCAGCGCGAAGGAGCATGGGATGACAGCGTTGCTTTTGGGCGAGTGATTGAAGAAAGTCAAGAAACTTCCAATTTAAACCACCCAAAAGGTAAAAGATACTTGAATCCTGCAAATGGCATAAAAACGAATGTGGAGCACACCGGTGCCGTGGTGGCTGAAGCACCCGGCTTTAGCCGCATAGCATGGTAGAGTGCGTTGGCAAACCCAACTGGACTCGTGAAATCCATGGTGCTTGGGTTGTAGGTGACATCAAGCGGGATCGCGTTGCGGCCTTCCTTATCGTGTGTTCCGAGGGAGTTGGGGGGACACACGATTGATATAGACTAATCATATTAGTGGGCGCTATGTATTTTATATCTTCTCAAACCCCCTCGAGCAGAAGGCACAATCGAGATGCGACGGGCAAACCCAAAACCTATACCGATAAGCCAACCTTGCTAAGTTTAATCTGGGAGCAGACCATTCAGCCTTTGTCGCCTCCATTTGCCCGGCAAAGGTCTCCAGATGGTCTAATGGCTCCCACGAAAGACCTGGCACAGCAAAGACCAAGTTCACCAGGGTGGCGATAACCTGAGCAACCAAGGCCAAATACTTCTTGGTTGGTTGGGTTCAACTTATTAGTTGGCATCTTTTTGGGTTGGGGGGCAGGTCACCCACAGGCCACAGGAAAAACATTGACCTATCAACGCATAGGAGCAATTGGCGCCTTCAAGTGTTTCAACCCTGCCAGCAACCACAATTGCTGCCGATCCTTCATAGATCTCGGCTGCCTAATGGTCGGCGACTCTTCGGGGACAAAGGGCATGCGTTTATGCACCCTCTCCATCTTCTTCTTGATCATAGCCGCCGAGACTTTCCCCATGACAAACAGGCGCGAAACGAATCGACCACACACCCTCGGCTTTAAATGGCAAAACGCAGGAGTGGACATCTAAGCGCAGCTGATCAAACCTGCGAGAGGCCAGGTTTACGGCGCCCGGACAAGCCTCGCAGAAGAGGGGTTGGCAGGTCAACCAAGGCCTGCGTGCCAAATCGGCAGCGTATCAAGTACAAAGTATGCATGTCAAGCTGGACTGTTCTCCTTAACACTAAATATAATCATGTTTTCCAGTTTTCCCACTGCTGGTTTTCCAGTTCTACATGCGCAATGTGAGCACGCCTTGCGGTGGTGATAGCTGTGCCCTTGTAGGGCCTGACGGACATGTATAGGTTGCTGGAGGCTTCCAAGAAATGCTGAACTTTTTCATTGACGCTCCTGAGTGGTGTATGGCCCTGCCTCCAGACACAGCAACGGTGAACCCGACGTAGGCTTCGTAGATGGTGTCCAGGATGTAGGCCTGCCGGATGCTTCTACGTGTTGAAATGTTCCAGAAGGTGGCCTAAAGACTGTTCTTTCTAAAGTAAAAAGAGGTTGCAAGGCCACCTTCCACGAGTGAAGAACACAGACAGGCGCTGATGGTGTCCAGGATGTAGGCCTGCCGGATACTTCTACGTATTGAAATGTTCCAGAAGGTTGCCTAAAGACTGTTCTTTCTAAAGTAAAAAGAGGTTGCAAGGCCACCTTCCACGAGTGAAGAACACAGACAGGCGCTGATGGTGTCCAGGATGTAGGCCTGCCGGATACTTCTACATGTTGAATTATGCCAGAAGCCAGTTTTGCAGAGGTGGCCTAAAGACTGTTTTTCTTTCATTAAAAAGAGGTTGGAAGGCCACCTTCCACAAGGCGTTGATGGTGTCGAGGATGTAGGCCTGCCGGGTACTTCTACATGTTGAAATGTCCCTGAAGCCAGTTTTGTGAGGTGGCCTAAAGACGGTTCTTTCTTTATTAAAAAGCGGTCGCAAGGCCACCTTCCAAGAGCCGTTCTTTTCAAGGGTGAAGGTGAAGAACGCGGGCTCGAGTACCTTTCGGCAGAGCGGGCCCATTGCAGTTCGAAAGACTTGTCGCAGGACTGCTTGCAGATAGCTGGGACGCGGCGAGAAGGCTGGACTTTCATCTCCGATCGTCAGATGACTTGTTGGTCAAGTGCCCGCACATGTTGGCAAAGGCCTTTGACATAACCCCTAACTCAATTGGAAAGCGTGTTCTTTCAGAACCCCCTTTGAATCTCAGCAACTCAAAACAAACCCTAGAAATTGGCCTTGGCCTTCGCTTGTTCCCAAGCGGGCCCCGGGCCGCCGAACTTGCTCCAAGACACTTGGCCTGTCTTCAAAGTGTCCAATCGTGCTTCCTTCTTGCCAATCGTTCCAAAGCGCTTCACCACAAAGGCGGATTGAGAGAGCAAAACCTCTATAGCCTCAGAAGCACTATTTCAAAGAGTTTGGACAGAGACGGTCAAACACCCATAGCTCTAGATGGACAGGGTAGAAACATGTGTATAAAAGCTTCAGGGCTGTCATCCAAAGTGCAGCCCCGCTGTCGCTCACGACAGTGTACCCCTTCTGGCCTTTGTATTCCTTGCCCTCGATGGGCCAAGCTTCCTGCGGTACCCCCAAGGCCTGAAGGTCATACACGCCGAATGTTGGCAGGCGTTTGGCATCGGCGTCCAGTCGACCTTGCTTTGGCTTCTTCACCTGAGGAGGCCATGGGAGATTTGGTGGAGCTGTCGACACGGCTTTGTGTTTGAAAAGCTATAGTAATGTGCAATTGCCACATATCAAAGAAGAAAAACTTGGTTCTTGAAACGCCGCCCAAGGGCTGACTGCTTCGGGACTGGGCGCGTAGGGGTGTTCAGTCCAGCTTGGATTTGGTCAGCCAAGCGGGGCTTTTTGCACGCAGGGGTTGGAGTAACTAGATCTTCATCATGGAAAACCTGGTCCATGTCCATAAACGACAAAGCTCTGTTCAAAGGCTTCGAAGCCTGGAAGTTGACCGGATAACAATACATCCCAAGATTTGTTTCGTGTTGCATCCTGACCCCAAGAAAAAGTATAAATTAAGTAAAGCTTGTTGATTGGCTCCACGCGACATCAACCCCAGCCGCAGCAGAATCCCCACGCCGCCCACCCGAAGAGGAACTCGCATTTCGCTGCTGGTTCGAAGGATCTTGGGGACCTTCCTGGACAGGGGCATGCGGGCAAAGACACCCAACCATCCTACTACACGTCAGATAGGGGTATGAACAGGTTAAACAATTATTGAATACAATGACGAACTCTATGAACCACCTTGGCGTCAATGAGCTTGTGGTGTGCCAGCCATGATACGAAGTGGTCCCTGCCCGCCAACCGCGCATAGGTTCCCTCCCCAAAAGATTCCATGGTGTGGCGGCAATACCGGGCATAGGGAGGAATGAAGCTTTTGAGCTTAGCGTCACCTGGCTCCAATGACTCCTCCAAATCCTGAAGGGACCAACTTTGTATCAAGTTTTTGTTTTGTGAAATGTAAAATCAAAATTAGAAAGGTTCTCCACACGCTGACTGAATTCATATGGTGGCCTTTCGCGCCATGCCTTGTGAACCCTTAGCTTGCATTTTACAGAGTTATTGAATGGATGACCAGGTCACAAAAGCCAAAGGCCTCGAACCAAACACAATTTACTTGGTTTAGTATCTCTTTCAAGGCCACTGACTGCAGAGAATCATGGTACATTTCGGAGATGTGAATGAGCTGTCCTTCAAGAGATCCGTGCAAGTTGCGTCCAGGTTTGCCTTCCGCTTGGCCTCAACCCGCGAGTAGTAGTTGATAGCTTTTCCCATCCAACCAGAACTCACCTGGGAATCCCGGTGGTCGCTATCACTGTCACTGCTACCGTCAGTAGCAGCTACAGACTCTGGCGATGATTGCCCTTGCCCAAGGATCAAGGTCTCGGCGTTGGAGTCACTGTCATCCTTCACCGGCTCTTTTTGGGCATCTGCCACACAATCATCGCCTTCGCCTTCATCGTTCTCAGATTCAGAGTTGCTGTCATAGCTCTCAGATGGCTCACCGCCTTTGCCTCCACCGCTGCCCTGAGAAGCATCACCTGCCTCCTCCACCTCCTCGGCCGCAGAACTTGATGAGTCATCCATCAGCGCATTGTCAGCGGCATCGGGATCAGGATGCCCATGGTCGGCCTCATCGCCCGAGTCATGCGCAGGGTCTTCAGCCTCAGGATGCTTGCGCGGCATCTCCACCGAGTTTCGTGAGCATTTTAACACCCAAGGTGCAAGTCCAACGATTTTGAAATCCATTAAACTTTCGCGAAACAACGCGTAAACTTTAAAACAAGATCGAAGAGCGGCAGGAGCCGCAGGAGCGTCAGGAGCGGGCCGACGAGCTCTTGTGGGCGATGCTGTCATCATCTGCTTGAGCTCGGCAACCCTTGGGTCATGGCTCTTGGTTGAAGACCGCCACAAAGTGCGTAGCGCGCCAATGCATTTCTTGGCCTTGACTCCTTCTTTGCCAGCTTGCACCTCCCTGGGTTCATCCTTCGTCGCTTTGCAGAATAGCTGCTTGTTCAAGAGCCGGTCCAAGTAGAGAAACACGTCTGTGAGCATATAAGCTGAAGGCACGCAGCTAGGGGAATCCTGGATCATCGGCTTCAAAAAGACATAGTTCTGCGAGATCTCTGCCTGGCTTGGATTGGTGATCTCGCTGCTGAGCAAGATCAGCGCACCACCTTCAAAGGTTTTCTTCTCAAACATGTTCATGGCCGCAATTGGCATCAACTTCTTGATTCTGTTTGCAATGCGCGCCTTGGGCAATTGCAATACCGAGAAATCATTAAACTCAGTAAGAAAGTTTTTTGATGGTATTGAGTTTTTTCATTCTCATTCTCAGGATTAGGAGGTGTCACACCTAGGTGTCCCGGAACTCCCCAAAATTTTTCCAATATGAAGAAAACCCTCCAGAAGCGAAGACAAAGGCGCCACTCGATCCTCATTCCAAGAAATGCGCCCAGGTCCTAAGAGACGATTGCGCGTTTCCCATGCACTCAAAAAGATTAACCCTAAAGCCAAAGTTCTCCCCGCTGAAAATACCTGTTCGGGGAAACATTCCAATTTTGAGCTTGGGAACGCACTGAACGCCATCCACCAGGAAAGTGGGGGCGCTCCAGCTCTTCAGCTTCGATTGCCGGAGGCGCGGCCACCACAGCCATAGCGCTAGAGTGCAAGGGCCTTCGTTGAAAGCTTGAAAGCTTGGAGCCTCATACGTGTCAACAGCATGTACCAATTTGGCACTTGAAGAGCCATAGAACTTCTGCAAAAGACTGTATTAGATTTCTGAACTCCTTCAACCGAATCAACAATTATATACATCTTGAACCGTCGTCCACAAAGAAACACTCTGAAGATTGAGTCCCTTGGGGCACAC